CGAACGAACGAATATTCTATTACTCCAATGGACATGCAGCACATAAAATTGCCTGTGATAAAATGAGGATTTATAAAACAACAGTGACTCAATATTATTCATAAATTATAGTAATATATTATTAATAATTTCAATAAGAAAGGGTTTGCTCCCCACAGAGGAGCTCGCGCTATTCCGCCGACTTTACTTGACACTTGACTGACTCACGACTGCCATCCAGAGCACACGAGAAGTCCATCGAACCTTCGACTCGGCAAACCTGCAAGAAAGCACCACTCCCTGCTCAATACACAGTGTTTCGGGGAATTCACCCCTCATCAGTTGAGCTTGAGTAGGCTGAGGAAGATTGTGCCTGAAGAGCACCACTTATATAGTGCTCTCCAGGCACAAACATCACCATGGATACAAACTTACAGAGACGCTCCATTTCCAGCGCGACAAACACATCGTGAACACCAGATAGCAGCATGAGTCAGTGTCGCATGGACTTCTCGTGTGCTCTGGATGGCAGTCGTGAGTCAGTCAAGTGTCAAGTAAAGTCGGCGGAATAGCGCGAGCTCCGGTGTGGGGAGCAAACCCTTTCTTACAAATCATCGCCGAAGTCGCAACCACTACTTCGTAATTTCAATAAGTTATAGAAAAATGCAATTCTCCTGGAGCTTCAAACTTACTGATTGCTTGAACAGTTTTCAATGGCACCAAAGTCTGGAAAATCAATCAAGGAAAATGAATGCTAAGAATACTACACAAGACAGAGAGAGAGAGACGCACGCACACACACAGAAAGAGATATAGAGAGAGATAATCTCTTGGTGATCAAGTTACAGAGACGGCAGCTGCAGAGGGAGCTCATCGTCCAGCACAACATCCAGAGCAACAGGAGCTTCCTCGGTCACGGGCGCACGGAACTCAGGCGGGACAACATGGCTGGTGTGCACCTTCAGCGACTTGTTCTGCTGGAGGAAGATCAGGGCGTCTACGCTCTCTTCTGAGAGACCAGCACGACGCTTGCTGACGATGTGGCCGGCAGCCGAGAACACTCTCTCGGAAGGAACGGAAGTTGCCGGCACACACAAAATAGCCTTGGCGACCTTCGCAAGGTGTGGCAGCCGGTCCTCATTGATGCACCACCACTTCAGTGGATTAGTAGCTGGAGGTGCGGTTGTTTCGCTGAAATACACCTCCAGCTCCCTCTCGACTGCAGCACTGTATGATACCTCCTCCACTGTGGCAGCTCCGAAGAACAAATCCAAATCCTGAGGAGTACGCTTTGGTGCTGGTTCGGCTGCTGTTGTTGCCTCCTGGCCGTCAGCTATGCAGCGTTGCAGCAGCTCCAGCTTTACTGCTTTCCGGCCCGCATCGTCCAGGAATGCCAAGGAGCGTGGGTCTAGCGCTGCTTACACGTGCATCCTGGACAAGTCTACAGGGTCCAGGTGAAACTTGTTCGCAAGCTCAGAAGCAAGCTTGTGACACAGCTGAGCGATCGCAGCTTCACCATTGGCTGCCGCCTTGCCCGCATCTGCTAGCGCCATGGTGTGCAGAGACATGACGACTGGCATCACACATGAGATAGTCAGATATTTCTGACCACTCAGAAGGCGCGTCGCTTTTTCCGAAGGAGCTAAGACCTCCATGAGCTGCTCAGCAGTAGCCCAACGCTTCTCTTTCAAGAGCAATGCCCTATGGTCAGCCTTGGGCGTCTTGGCAGTGTCCACCAGAACAGAGTTCACGTGAGGCCTTAGCTCCAGCAAGCGTCGCAACATATAATACATGCTGTTCCACCTGGTTGTGACGTCCTGCATCAGACGGAGTGGCTGCTGGAGGGTGAGCTTGTTCTCCTTAGCATGGCTCACTTGCTGGGCGTTTAGCTGAGCAGTTGCGTGGGAGCTGTGGTGGAAATGCCCCACAAGACGTCGACCCTCAGCTAGAAGCTTCTGCACTGGCTTGCTGCTGTCCAGCGCATGGCGCAAGCACGTCTGCAGCATGTGTGCAGCACACACAACACCCTGGACATCACTATCACTATCAGCTTGAAGCAGTGTGCTGGCAGCAACCATGTTCCGAGCCTCGTCGTGCACAATGGCCACTACCCTCTCACTTATGCCGAACTCCTCAACAATTTCTTTCAACTGTGCAGCGATGTTTACTGCTGTGTGCCTGTCGTCCAAAGGCCGCGTCCCTAACACAACACTCTGTAAGTCCCAGTTGTCGTCGAGGAAATGGGCGGTGAACGTCGAGTACGACCGGACTGCTTTTGATGTCCAGCCATCGGTCGTCACTGCCACACGACGAGCAGACTTCATCCTGGCCTTCACTTCCTCCTTGCCATCGGAGTGTTTGCGCTTGACGACGGAGGCAATATGAGTTCGACTCGGGACGTTGAATCTGGGCTCCATGAAACGAAGCAACCGCGTGAGCCCATCGTCATTTACAATGTTCAAAGGACGCAT